CGCTTTGTGTCAAAAACAATAAATAGATAATAGCAAGTAGTTGGGATGGTCGTAAGGAATATTTTCGTATCGTCTCGTATTACTCTGCTCTTTTGGCACTCGGTAGCACGGACAAGAATTTTTCAGAACATTTTTCGTTAACGGTCTCTGCTTATTAACACTGCCCAATAAACTAACACTATCGCAGAATGTATGGTATATATGACAAGTTTTACTAATGAATCATGAGGATTATGTCGGCTTAATATCAAGGGTGAAAAAATATGGTAGGATTTTTCTTATAGCTCGTGCATAATAACTGTAGCATATCTTCTCTTTTTATATTCTGCACTACTTACGGTAAATAATCTAATATATTAAGTATGCTTGGATGTATGTAACAGCTAGGAAAACTTTGCTATAACCCCTCTTTCAATCATATCGATCGATTCAGAATAATTTTTTGAATTAATTTAATCTTGTCTATCCACCTTTCTGGGGATATTTTGGTCTGGCAACGCTATTGAAAACAGATGGGATCGGATCATTTTTATTAGTCCTTGTACCCTTATTTTCGAAACGTGGTTCGCTGGCCAAGAATATTTCATCATTTTAGCAAATTGAGTAAATCGGAAAATTTTGAATCGAATGAAACAATCTTTTGAAATATTTCCTTGCGATATCAGGTAAAAAGGAAAACATTCAACAAATCTTATTATAATGTAATCGTTTTTGCTCCGGAGAGAGGAAACTCCCATTTACCATTAACCCTCAATTTGTCTTCGCTTGGCCTAACCCTTGCCCATCACCACAGTTCGCGGCCTCCAATGCCTACTTCAACTACTGCAAGCGAAGAGGAGGCTCAGATGATCACAAAAAAACGGTTCAAACGTATCAACATTTTTGATTACCGTATTTTTTGGACTATACGACGCCACTTCAAAACTAACATTCTTCAGTTCATCTTCACGAACTATTGTTGTCGTACCTCACGTACCACAAATTAACAAATGATTTATTGAAAAAATATTTTAATATCACCTTTGGACTCATAAGACGCACTCAAAATTTGAATCGATTTTTCTGATGCAAAAAAGTGCATCTTATAACCCGAAAATTCATTTATTGGTTTCCAATTGGAAATTGCATCATTCCGTTTACAAACTCTCTGCCACGTTTCAATTTCCTCTGTTAGTTTTTATTTTAATAAGCAGATCACAGATAGAAGAACATGCAGTATACAAAGCAAAATCTTTGAAGATATAAACATTTTGTGGACTCTTTATGCTACCCATCTATTCATGATGGGTACGAACACTTAATAAAATTCATGCTTATACGCAGCTTTAATTGATGGCAATAATCGAGGAAGCGGAAAATTCAATGCATACATATGCACTCACTCCGCTAATAGATGCACTTTCATATGTGATACGTAAATGAATATGTGCGACGCTAGTAGTAAATCATGCGGTCAGTTCATATGAACGTGCTCGAAGCTAAATGAATCAATCGCAGAAGCTATAAATAAAGGAAACTAAGCGAAATAAAAGAGCACGAAGAATAGTATCAATAGATAGCGAGAGAGCGCACAAAGAGAGTGAGCGAGAGAGAGAGAGAGAGAGAGAGAGGGAGGGAAAGTAAATCAAAAAATCAAAGATTATTCTTAACCAAGAAATAATGGTTAAAAAATATCTTTGCATATATTTGAAGATAACAATAATTGTACTTAGATACAAGAAACTAACAGTTAGATGTCAGCTGAGATTTGTTTACAAGCATTGGAGGGCCAAACACCAAGATATGTGAATTAGTAAGGGGCGTATAATGTTTTTTATGATAATTATTTATAGTATGTTTGTGTGATTTCATTATTTTTCTTTTTATCTATTAGAGTTTATAAAATTTAATAAAGAACTGCATAGGCATAGAATTGCGGCCGCATAAAGTATTCTTATCCATTGTATGTCTCGATGAAAACTGATTGACTTTTGATAAAAGCTAAAAGTTTACGATGTAATATCAACAACGAACACTGACAGTTATTCTTCCAAACGAATTATAAGAGGAAAACAAACGCAATTTGCTTTTATTATGCCCCAGATCACATGTGGTGCAAGGGGTGCATTAATTTCGGGCGGATGCATGCAACACCCGGCAGGGTTTAAGATAGACACACCTTTTACTTTACCAATACCTTCAGAAAGTGATTCTAAGCCGGTCCGTCAGTCCGTCCGTACGTTTAAGCTGCAGGTGGAATTTTAGGAGATATTTTCATGAAATTCTTTACACTGACATACTTTGGCCCAAGGACGAAGGCTATTGAAAATGGTTCGGATCAATCCACTTTTTCGGCCACACCGCCGTATAACGCCCTATTTTGACAAGTCGTTATATGGCGTAAAGTTTCATTTTTAAAAATTTCTCGGCTAATGTGGCTAAGTAACAGTATTTCGGCATTCTAAATTGGTGTGAAAGCTTTGGATCGACTGGAGTAATTTTTTAAAACTAAAGTTCATATGACAAAAAGTCTAATTTTCATTGCTTCATGATGAAAATCAGATCACAATAATAATGCAAGATGAAAAATTATCTTTGTCATATTTAGATCATCTCGGTCTATTTTTTGGTTCCTACCCTTGTAAGGATATTCACGAAAATTGATGCATTATAGACCATAAAACTCTAATTTTTAATATGTGGGGATCAAAATTCCGCCATAATAGCAATTGCATAGAAAAACTAGTAAGACGACTATATTCGACGGGGGCCAAATCTCGCATATCCACCGCTATGTTTTTCGAATTCTACCCTCCAAGCCCTTTTTTTGATACCCATATCGCTGGTATTATTAAGAAAAAATTAATCGCGATGGCTACCATATTCATTTTAAAATTAACCCATTTTTCGGCAGATAATATATCTTCATTTAAGGGGTGTACAAAATGGTCTTGTTTGCCTTACGATAAATAAACATAAAATCTCGAAAAAGTAAAATAAAAAACAGAATTTAATCACTTGTAACACATAGACGTACAGACATGGCCAAATCAACTCCGATTTTTACGCTGATCAAGAATATATACACTTTATAGGGACTCTAATAAAGCTTCCTTTTGAGTGTTAAATACATTATGGAAAAAACATCAACCATCTTACAGTGGTGAGCATAACAAGAATTCTTTTAGGCATGTAGGGTATTTAATGATTCTTACTTTTTTTTTTTTTTTAAAGAAAAGAAAAGGATAATCTAAAAATTTTCAAACGAAAATAATATGGGACAGCACTGGTTTAATTTTTAGAAAGACGATACCAGGCAGCCTATATACAAATTCGATGGCAAATTCTTGATCTTCCGCGATTAATAATAATAAGTATATTTCGTACACACTGAATCGCGTACACGCACTGGAAACCCACGCATTATAAACGTTGACAATCAAGCAACATCGGCCATCAATAACATTCATACGTACAGTTGTAGTAGGCGTTTTCCTTTCTTTATTCAAATCAGATATTTATTGCTACAAGTTTGTAGCGCGTGTGAACTAAACATTGTTCAATTTGAAGATAATAAAATATGAATTTTCAAGCGGACTTTTGGTTATGAGCAAAAGTAGTTATTAACCGGCAATTTTACACATAATCTATGTCATGTCACCGGCTATCATTTTGTAATCGGATGTGGAAGTAAAGTAAAACATTCTAAATCAAGTCCATTATATATCCTATTTTAAACTGAACGAAATGAAATGAAATTAAAATTTTGGACACGATGAAAGTTATGTATATGATCGTATTTTTCGGACTGTAAGACATGCCGGATGATAAGATGCGTTTCAAATTTATAAGATAACATTTAGAAAAACATATATTTTAATGGTACTTTTGAATCAAAACTTTTATTTATTGTTAACACAACTCGTACTAGCAATCTTCGTCACTCTCGGTTCTAGATACTTGTCTCGATAACTTAACTGTTCATATTACTTTCATGTAAACTAATGTTGTCGTACCTCAAGTACCTCAAATTTAGAGATGATTTATTGAAAAAATACTTTTGTGTTACCTTCGGACCATAAGACACATTCAAGATTTAAGTCAATCTGTTAAAAACAAAACCCAAGTAGCTTCCAAAGAGAAATGCTATAGAGTCTCAAAAATAGCTTTACTGTTAGCAAGTCATATATATTCAACAAATAATATTTAGATATAAATTTGTTCCCGCCTCCTTTCCTGGACGGTGCAAATCCTTGATTATAGTCTGTAAAGCTTTAAAAGGCTGAAGAATCGTTAAAAAGATCCTTGTTGTTTACTTCACTACCCTTGTTTGCGGCCATCCCATAGTTATTTTACATGAATCAACAGTTGTGTAATATGATTCATATTAAAAGTAACTCTCGATCGAACTAAAAAAAAAAAAAACGTATGCATAAAAAAGAGTTTAGAAGAGAATGATAAATGAATGAGAGAGAGAACAGGTCAAAAAGAAAGTTTTTTTTCGTTTTCTTGCATTCTCACACGCACGAACTCATGCAATTTCATTAGAAATTGAATAGTACTTCAGATAAAGATTAAAAGAGGGATAATACGACAAATGCATACATGTGCGATAAACAAATAAGAAAAATGTAAGTATTTACGAGGGATTTTTATGCAACGTGTCAAATAAACAAGGAAGATAAGTAAAAACAGCATCAAAAAAAAGGGTGAATTGAAAAAAAGCCCTAATTAATAACACAATCATATTTAAGCAATTTATAATGAAGGTGTAATGTCTTCGTCTGCTTAACGGCACGTTTTTTTCTTTTAAATTAAGTTAAATCTTTTGCAGCCTTAAACAAACTGGCGAGGAGACCCCCTGAAATAAATTATTGTCTTGGGACCTCTTAAGATTTCCCTATAGTTTCATTTAATTTTATTAACCTTCAAAATAAAGAACTAATGCGCTATAAAAAGAGAGTTATTAGCCATAACTTTTGTTAATTTCATAAAATGTACATACATGTCGTTTACTTTACCTTTAAATAAATAATCGTATTCATCTTCCCTTGTGCCCATTGCTTTGATATTATTGTTGCTTTCTTTTTTATACTGCGGTGTTAGGTGTTTATAATAGGATGTGCTTTTTCTTTGTTTATTTACTTTTCGAACTTTTCTCCTTCTTCTTTATGCACTTGCTTAAGTTTTTTTTTTTTTTCTTTAAGCTTCCTTTCTTTTAAATATTAAAAATATTTTTTTTTCTTAAATCTGCAAATAATTTTCATTTAGAAAGAATAAAAAAAAAAATGAAAAAAATGCTGATATACAATAGCCGCCTTCATTAATAAACCTTAACCAGTCCAAACCACTACAAAGGGAAATGAAAATAAAAACTCGAGAAAAAGAGGGCAAACGAAATTAAAGAAAAATATTTATTAAAAAAAAAAAAAAAAAAAACCGTGTACGAAGTCTACGATTACGATGACGATGTTAAATGATGATGACAACGACCACTAGACCAACAACAATCGCCATAAATGAAAAATTTCATTACACTTTTTTTTGAAAAAGTAAATTAAATAATTTAAACATTTAGTTTTGATTTTTGATAATGAGCGGTTTCATTATTTATTGCATCTTAATTTCCTTTTCATCATTTTTTTTTTTCTTTTCCAGAGCAACGAATCTTTGCTTTTCCGTTTTCTCACGCACCCACTTTGACGTTTTCTTCTTTGAAATTATTTTTGTATATCACACTTTATGGCCTTTGTGATCTTTTTGAAAGAGTTTTTACACCACAATTAATTGAACTAATGCTTTCTACGCTAACAATTTCTTTCTTTGATTACTTAAAACGGTATTAATCACCTTTTTTTTTTGCGACTTTTCGCAATGAACGTAGACACACGAAAAAATGTCTTTTTTCTTTCTTTCTCTTTCGCTTTTGTACAATCAATATGGCTGTTCAAATGTCAATTGCTTAGGCGTGTAGTGTTGCCAACGCCCATTGTTTTTCTATGATTATAAAAATTTTAGAGAGAAATTCAATTCATTTGTACTGTTCGTCCAATGTTTGAATTAATTTTCATTCATTATTTTGTTATAACCAAAAAGATTAGTGAAAATTATTAAAAAAATAAATAAATAATTCAACTCGTCTTAATTATGATTAACATAAAAGAAAATTATTTTAAAAAAACACACACACATTTGGTTTGCAAAATTTGACAACTAGTAGTTGAGATTGTTTGTTGACTATTTCAAGAGTTTAACTAATAATTAACACATTATAATAACAAGTGCTCTTTGTAATGAAGCTTTAAACAATCCCGATTTTTTCCTTCACAATTTTTGTAAAGCTATTAATCACTAGAAAAGGGAGGACGACCCATACGCGACGAGAAGATTATATGTGAGCTTAATGCGACCTGTATTGAAAAACGCCCTGGTCGTGTGGTCATCTTCGTATCCTCGCCACGTGAATTCCTTAGAATCTTCGCGGAAGCCCTTTCTTCTTTTTATTGTAACAAATTTTGTTTTAACATCCACGTGTCCCTTTACCTCCTTCTGAAATTAGGCTATTACGTAAATTCTTGTCGTCACTCGAGAATCACAGGATGGTATTAGTTACTTTCAGGGCAAAGTTGATTAATGCTAAGTGAAATCAATTTTAATATTCCTCTCCGTCCAACGAAAAATTTTCTTTTTTCTAAAACTTAGCCAATGCAGGTTAAATTATGAAATTTTTAACCCACTTAGGGTGCTCTGTAATAATTTAAACGGGGCTTACTACCCAATCTCATAACCGGATGGTTTTGCTTCCGTTAAGCACGTGTACCGCCGACATTGTGCTTAGACTAAAATTTAAATTCTATTAATGAACTGCACTCCAGCAACGTACCGATTTATGCTTACGAAATGGTGTTTATTCGTAGAGTTTTCGGTGAGCTAGATGAGTAATGATATTCACTTTGTTTATTCCTTATATGTACATATCAATGAAGTGTTGAAGAATCAGCCACATAGTATACGTAAAAAAAAGACTCAATATTTTGTGTTTTTGGAAAATTATGTATTCTCACCGATTTTGACTGCGTACGTTCCATTTTTCCGATCAAGGCTATAGAACAATCAAGGCTATATATATAGCTATATTCTTTTTTTTTTTGAAAATAGGATAAAATCGAATGCCACGCCTATAAAAATTGTATAAAACTATTCAGGAGATGTACAAGGGGAGATGAATGCATATTTTTGATACATTTATATAAAAAAGATTATATATTACATTTCAACCAAACCATTTCAATTGTCGTAGTTTTAAGGTCTTCTCTTTTGTTCAATTATAACTAAGTTAAGTCTTCAATTGAATGGGTTGCTGAATCTTCACTGCAACTGAATTCTGTATTTATAAATAAATACATAAATAAAAAATCTGCCTAACGCGCTTCCAATATTTCATAAATTTTATATATCTTCAAAAATATGCGTAAGCAGCAGAAAATATTTCAAGTATTGAGATAAGCAAATTGCTCTGACAGATAAAGCATAATTTATGTATGTAAACGGAATATATCAATATTAAAATTTCGTTTCATATTCTCCAATGATAGATAATGTGTTTAACTAAAATACTGAACAGAATTTCATTGTATAAAGTAACAAGGATTTTTATTGTGGCTATACACTTATGTACATGTACATATATATGTATATGTGAAAATTTTTGTTCAATCTTTCGAGATTTCAAATACTTAACTTCTATATAATATAAATTATTGGAATAAAACAATCGCAATGTTCAATGCAACAATACACAATTAAAGTTGACTTCTTTGTAAAACCCACGAAGGTATTATTAGCAACAGGCCACCCATAACATAAGTAAATTTCGAGCCAAGGCACCAAAAAGCTTTAAAAAAAAAAATGAAAAAAAAACTTTAATTTTTTTAATAATTAAAAAAGGTAAAGTCAGCACGGGCTGTGCTTTTCATATGAAAAACATTTAATGGACTTTTGTTCTGATCAAGCTAAAGCCAGTATTAGTATAAATAACAAATAGAAATGTAGCTTTTTTCAATTTTCGCTTGGCGGACCATTCCAAACATAAATAAATAAAGAGCTAATGACCGTTCAAGAGAGGTAAATAGAAAAGATTAATTGATGAATTGCGGAAATAATAATAAAACCAAAATTCAATTTAACAAATTTTCAAAGATTATTCAAATCGATTCGCAGTTACGATTACTTTCATAAAATCAAACGACATAGTGCCTATATATTTTTAAAAAACAGTTCCATCATCATCCATTGGCTACTAAAAATATAGAAAATTGAAAGACTGTTGATATACATACCAATTGAACCAGCTATAGGCCCAAGAGATCTAGCTAAAGCGCCTAGTGATCTAAATATACCTAAAACTGAGCCTTTTTGATCATCATTGCCATACTTAGAAACCAATGTCGTTAGGCATGTAACAGTAAACGCTGTGGCTACAATATAAAAATAAATTATAATATAATAAAAAAGTAAATTAAACAAGAAAGTTATATTCGGCGGGGCCGAATCTCCCATACCCACCACTAAGCTTTTCGCACACTATTCTCGAAATTCGTTTAATTGATATCCACATCGTTGGTCTTATTAAGAAAAAAAATTAATCCACCAGGCCGCAGTGTCTAAGATTAACTAATTTTTAGGCAGATAATATCTCTTCGTTTGAGGAATATACAAAATAGTTTCAAAAATTTTGTCTTATTTGCCTTACCTCAAAACTTCGTAAAAGTGACAACAATAAAATTTAATCACTTGTCACTTTATGTAGGTATGACCGATTTTTCCCCTTCTTTGCACATAAAGAGTAGAGTAGTAGAGTGTTTCGTAAAGTAAATATGCAAAATTTCAGCCTTCTTCATTTTCCATAATAAGGTGCATGCAAAAACTTCCTATGTTTCTACCTAATTTGAAGCCGATATCTTCATTTTTGCGACCAGGAAAGTACCAACATCACACACCATAGGAGCGCAGACAGACAGAAATGGCTTAATCAACTCAGAATTTCAAACTGATCAAGTTGGGGTGTCTTTTTGAAAAAACAAAAAAAAACGTCCTACAGTGGTGGGTATAAAAATATATCCTCTCAAATTGTTCATACAAATCGCATATAAAATCATTCCTGTTGCAAGTAACCATGTACTGGAAGCCATGCCCACAAAGATAAAGGCTGGCACTAGTAAATATAGACTGCCTACAGCATAGTTTTTCACCTTTGACTCTGGTATATTTCTCACAACTGAACCCTGCAATAGGGTCATAATAACGCCTAGAAGTAAAAAATTAAATAAATATTATTTAATTTCCCGTATATTGTAAACATTTTCCCACTATTGTTTACCAGTTGTTAAAAACATTTTCGCTTGATCCATTGATGTGTAACCGAATTTATGATACATTAAAAATGTTACCGTAAATTCCAAAGCCGAATATAGAAACAAATAAGTAAAGTAAATCAAGCCGATAATTTGCAAGGCATTCATTTGCTTTTTTGAAACATTTTTCATAGCAGAAAATCTGAAAGAAAAGAAAAAAAAAGAAAGGAAAATTACATTCGCTTAGAGACGACTGTTGAATACCCAACGTAGACTTTCTAATTACTATGAATAATGATTTTGAGACATTATTGCTTTTTAAATTTTTTTGACTCTTGCATTACATTTATGCATAAATACACGTTGCCAATTTTGTTCGAGACCATGGAAATTCAACGGCTTACTCGAAAATTTATATCAATTTTTGAAACGTCGACGTCCATTTTGAGCAACGATATTTTAAGTTGACTTCACCACTGACGAGAGATGATAGGATAGGATCGTCGAAGAAGCTTATGATTGTCGAGAAAGCATATTTCATATATGGAGCCTATGTATACATGTATGTTCTATATTTCTAGGTGTAGCGCGTAAGAGTGACGAATGTAACAGTAAACTCCCTTTATCGTGTGTATAAAGAGGCGCTTAAGAAAAATAAATTTTAAATAATACCACGTTTTGCTTAACATGCGATAAGATTTTTAAAAACTATTTAAACTGAGGGGAAAAACAAAGCTTACCGAAATATTGATGTTATGTTTAACAATTGCCATGATAATGAAGATGAAATTTGTTTTATGCGCTTTTCCTAAAGTATATTAAATTTTTTTTTGAAAAAGGAAAGAATATTTAATATCTTCTAACCTTTGGCAAAGTTTCTCTTAGGCAGAATAATAGCACGAGCAAATCACCGATTGCCAAAGTAAAAGCCAAAAGGGAAGGTGACACAAACCATGGTCCAGCGTTCTTATTAGCAAATATCGCAAAGAACGCTCCAATCATCGGTCCAAAGATAAAACCTAAAGAAAAAGCTATACCAACTAAGGCCATACCTCGACTGCGGGTTTTTTCACTGGAAACATCCGTTATTATCGACATGGCCAAAGAGATATTGCCTTTGCTAAGGCCTCCTATGAACCGTGACAGAACAAATAAAGCAAAATTACGCGATAATGCCCATAAGAAATATGATAAAGCAATGCCACTCTAAAAAAAAAAGAAAAGAACACATGATTAAAATGTTATATAATGAAATCCGGTATTTGAAAATCCTTACAGCACAACAAATAAGCACCGGCCTACGTCCATAATAATCAGAAAGCCCACCTACTATTGGACTTGCTAGAAATTGTAAAAAACTAAACATGGAACCCAAAAAGCCTCCAAACAATACTGAATTAAAACGTTCTGGAGCACCCACCAGTTGCTGAAATTTTTGCATACTCTGGGTAAGTACGCGATAGAAAGCCGAATTATCATTTTGTTTGAAATATTCCAATAGTGAAGGCAGTAAAGGTAGAATAATGGTAAAAGCCAATAAATCAAGCAGCAATGATATAAAAACCACATATATTTGTGGATCATTGCCTTGGTTAGCAGTTTTCGCTTTAACAGCTTCGACTTTAAAATCTTTTAACACATTCACATTGTTGTTATTGTTGGTTTTATTAACATTAGTAGTTTTATTCAAATGTTTTAACGAATACATATCCGGCTTGTACGCGACGCTCTTATAATTATTAAAACTAACGTGTTTGCTTACGTCGCTGATTATTTACTGAATCAGTTAGCTCTTTACAATATAAATAAAGCACTTTTTTTTTTTCATTTGGATAAAGTGAAAGTTTTTGATTTTGTTTATTTTTCTAAGTAGAAGTATGTTCACAAAAGTTGTTATTAGTTGATTATGATAGTTATTATGAATTGCCATCTCTGTTTTCATTGACACAGCTGTTATAATCATAACTATTTTTTACATTGTATTATAGGCCATTTATTGAGAAAGGCGTAGAATTAAATTTTTAGTGTCAAAAATTTGTTATTTTGCCTTTAAAGAGAAATTATTTTAATTAATTATGTCCAAAGTAACTGTTCAAGATATAGAAGCTGTGGATGATTATTGGGGTCCCACCTTTCGTTCGATTTTAGAAGGTAAGTATAATAAAATTATCCTGACCCTCTTTCACATATTAAATTTCCTAATTGTTTAGGAGAAAATACCGATGCAATTTCCGAACAGCTTGAAATGCGTGTACGCAGCCATGATAAAGAAATCGAACGTATTTGTAACCTTTCCTATCAGGGATTCATCGATTCTATACAAGAATTATTGCAAGTACGTACTCAAGCCCAACAATTGGCACAGGAGGTACAAACAATGGATAAATCGTTACAGTTAGTTAGTGCTGCGCTAATACAGCAAGGCAATGACTTGGTTAAAGCCAGACAAATAGAATCCAATTTAGCTTCAGCTATAGAAGCCTTGAAGGAATGTTTACCCGCTTTGGAATGCTATATAAAATTCTGTCAGCAGGCTTCTAATAAACAATATTATCAATCACTACGTACTTTAGAAATACTGGAAACGCAACATTTACCCAAATTACGTAGTTATCGTTTTGTAACGCAAATGCGTCTAGCGATACCCGTAATAAAGGAAAATATACGACGATCCGCTGAAGCTGATTTTCGTGAATTTTTGGAAAATATACGTCGATTCTCGCCACGCATAGGCAAAGAAGCAATTGATCATACGAAGAAATTACAGAAACGTGATATTAATACTATCATAGAGGATCATAAGAAAGCTTTAAAGAATCGATCATCTGCTGGGGATGAGAATAATCTAAGTGCCCAAGATTTAATAGATTTCTCGCCCATATACCGTTGCCTACATATATATAGCGTCTTGGGTCAGCGTGAATACTTCGAGAAAGACTATCGCCAACAACGACGCGATCAAGCTAAATTAGTATTGCAGCCACCTCCTGGCATGCATGACAATTTGGAAGCTTACAAATTATATATATGCGCCATAGTTGGATTCTTCGTGGTTGAGGATCATGTGAAAAATACAGCAGGTGATGTGGTTACTTCTTCCTACTTAGAGGAACTATGGTCGTCTTCTTTGTCAAAATTTGTTAACGAGATCAGCATGAGCTCATCTTCCTGTACCGATCCGAACATATTGTTGCGTATAAAAAATTTGATTATGTTATCAATCAACACTTTCAAATGTTATGGTTATACGGTAAACGTTTTATGGGAATTATTGCATAATATGCGCGATCATTATAATGAAGTTCTCCTACAACGTTGGGTTCACGTATTTCGTGATATACTCGACAAGGAACAATTTTTACCAATGCTTGTAGAAAATCAAGAAGAATACGAAGCAATTATAGAACGTTTTCCTTTCCATTCCGAGCAGTTGGAGAGCACCGCCTTTCCTAAAAAGTTTCCTTTTTCACGTATGGTTCCTGAAGTTTATCATCAGGCTAAAGAATTTATGTATGCCTGCATGAAATTCGCCGAAGATTTAACGCTATCGTCCAATGAAGTGGCCGCCATGGTGCGTAAAGCCGCCAATCTCTTATTAACTCGTAGTTTTAGCGGTTGTTTGTCGGTAGTATTTCGCAATCCTAGTGTTGCTCTACCGCAGCTAATCCAAATCATTGTAGACACTCAATACTTAGAGAAAGCCAGTCCGTTTCTGGATGAGTTTGTTGGTCACATGACTAACACGTGTAACACGGTAAGCGGCGTTACACAGACAACTTCGGCCATGTTTCACGTCGCTCGTCAAGATGCAGAGAAACAGGTTAGTGTACGTATATGCTCGAAAATCGATGAATTCTTTGAACTCTCCGAATACGATTGGTTATTAGTTGAACCTCCTGGTAAAGCATCTGTCTTTATAACCGATATGATCTCATATTTGAGTAGTACATTGGAAAGTTTTGCTTCCAAATTACCGACAATAGCTCAGGCTGCTTGTCGCCGCACGTGTGAACACATGGCTGAAAAAATCTATGCAATACTTTTCGATGACGAAGTCAAGCAAATCTCCAACGGAGCTTTACAACAAATTAATTTAGATTTGATGCAATGTGAATGTTTTGCCGAATCAGAACCGGTGCCTGGTATAAAAGAGGGCGAACTCTCGAAATATTTCCTAAAATGCAGGCAACTTTTAGATTTGTTAACAATGGAAGAGTGGGCAACATATTTGCATGATTACGGTAATAAAGAGAACCGCTATCATTTAGTTCATCCCCAATCGATTATTATTATATTGGAAAAGATACGTGAAGCCGATAAAAAGACAATGTTTTCCGTTTTGCGTAAGAACGATAAAAAGAAGCTTTTGGAAACTGTATTAAAGCAACTTAAACACTTAGCCGAAAGGCAAAGTTAAAAAATGCAAATATAAAAAACCAGAAATCAGGAAGCATTGGTATTCTTTTTTATATTCACTCTCCGGAAGATGACGATATACTATACTCCTATTTCCGGAAAATCATTAGCATCAGAGACCCCGTAAGGCATATATATCTATGTATTCTTGATTTGCATAAGATTTCGAATCGATAAATCTATTCGCATGTTGTTGGAGGGTTCACGTCTGCAAATATTAACAAAGTTGTTCTGTGATCAATAACTAAAGATTTTACCGATCTAGTATTAACCTTTTTGTCACGTTTTTAAGTCCGTAAGGCCTCCCTCTTCAGACAGCCCGTTAAATACTGAAGCTATTTTGAAGCTATTGAGAATCTTAGACTGGTGAAGTGTTCGGTTCACTGTACTTGCCACTCTTAGATGTTGGCTACTAAAATACTTAATTTCTATAGGACATTATTCTTTTGATAATGCATTTGAATTTTTTTATGATTATTTAATAATGGAAGCAATTTTGTTACAAACATTTATATATTTAGCTTTATTCATATATTTGTTTATATACAAAGTAGATTTTTTTCCTTTTCCTCTTTTGTTCTAAATATCTGTTTTGAATATAGTTATGTCCGTTAGATAGATATATGTATGTAGGTATGTATGTTATGTATGTATATGGAGCGCATATAAGTTACTCTATATTCATTAAATTCTATTTTTTATACTATATTTGTGTTTTGGTTTTGTCATATATCTTCCTTCAATATAAACAACTACAAGTATAAGAATAAAATTCCACAAAAATTTTTATCGCACTATCAACAAGAAGTTTTTAATAAGCCATTAAGAAAAAAAAAAAAAAAAATTTTATAATTATTTAGGAAACTTTTCATAAAGTTCAAATTTTTCCTATCTTCTTTGTTTACGATATCCTTATTACATTTTTTTTTTAAATATCTTGAGTGCTTTAAGCTTTCAAACCAACGGTATATAAAATATTGTGTGTTTCGTGTTCTATGTGTTTTGTCGGATGATGTTACATATATATTACATTCTATTCAATTTTTTTTCTTTTTTTTTGGTTTATATATTTTAAAATTTATTCTATTTCGCGTTTTATTTTATTTATTTACTTTTTTTTTTTATTATTTTTCTTCTCTTTAGGTGTATATGTGACATAGTTATGATGATTCCTATTTTCTTCTATGATACATATAAATATTGCTGTCAACTTTTTGTTTCTAAATGTTTCGGGGCATCGGCATAAGTGAATTTTAAACGAAATGCTTCGGCAACTAGAACGTTAATTTGACGATCGGACCAATTATGCGTTGGCAGATTTTGTAGCAACAGCAAAAGACCCTGAAAAAGTTTATTTTATTATTTAACTAATTTCATTTTTTCTTTTTATAATAATTTTTATTATTAGGTATTTGCAAAAATTTTGATCCACCGATTCTGCAAGTAAAAATGATAAAGAAATGCTGTTCTATTATATCACAATATCGGTTTTGGGTTCAACAGTTTAAAAGTGGCGACACGAATTGTCTGAAAATGTCATTTTTTGGCCAATTGTTGCAAGAGTTCTCCAGGAAACACTGTTGCACCCCGAATGGGAAGTTCTTGTTCAGTTAGCTGGTGGTCACTGCTAAACCAATTATACTGTCACTTTGTCGAAAATATTGTAGAAGATAATGGATTAGGGATTAATATATATTGTACCAATTTTCCACAATAAATGACTTTGTGAAAAAGTGATCAAAATTTTTGCAGACACCGAATATAATTATTATTAAAAACCTGGAAATCGCTTTGTTGCATTAGTTGTTCTTTCCAATGTAAAAGAAAGGCGGCACAAACATATAAATGAAATAAAGCAAATCCATCCGATTCAGCTAAATAGGTATCCCAAAGACGTATAGTACAATGCAATGGCAATTCTCGGGTCAATAGATTATTCATCCAACGAAATGAAAATTGTAAATAATCGACACCATGCACGAGCAAATGACGATGCAAATTTCCTAAATATCAATAACAATTATTATTAAACTTTAAATGCTAAATGATTTTTAATTGCTTTCGCTTCTCATCCATCATCACACTAACCATCTATCCTTTGTATCAAATCCTTTAGTTGATTGACTTTCTCTTGTATACCTAGTTGAGCAAATATGTAGTTATCTTGTATGCAATCTAAAAATTTCGATAAACACCAAAATGAATCGGCCTCTATAGCATTACGTTTCTCTTCCGTTAATGTCGATATATCAAATTTTTCTATATCAGTCCCTGTTTTCATAAAGGTAATGCGATATTTGTTTTTATATACATTCTTCTATTACTTGCTGGTAATTTACCTGGCTCTAGAACTTCTTGTAGGAATACAATAAAAAACGGTGTTACCAAATCATTGATACCCTGTACATAACCGGATGCCGGATGACGTATTGACCATATAAATAAGATGCGTTCAAACATTTCTTGTACAAGTTTTTGCTGGAAGAGTGCTATTTGAGGATTCATACGTGGGACATCAATGTGTATCTATAAATTAAGAAATTTTCTCAACTGATGTTTAGAATTGAACGAGTTAAGGTTTTTCGTAGCTTAAGTCATTAGCAATTGTATTTTTTTTTATCACTTACTTGTCTATATGTGTCCTGTTGTGACTCATCTTGACTATCGACTTTAAAGTAATTTTGCCGAAGATCTTGATAGCCTTGGCGTTTACTTTCTAAAACTGCATTGCGGCGTTCACCAGCTGGCGGCAAATATTTCGATAATAAACGCCAGCTAATGGCACGCATCTACGAGAATAAAGAAACATGTAAATATATAATTTTTTTCCAAAACGAAAAATCAACAACCTTTCTTGGTACTCCAGACCAACTTATTTTTTTTAAAGCTACTAAATCCAATAAAGGCGATTGAAATAACGATTTAAATTTCTCAATTTTCGTTTCATATTCAGAGTCTTGTGTATTCGAGGTGATTTTTTGTAACTGCGGTCGTCCGGGTAAAGCTTGTACTTGGTGAAAGCGAGGCCTGAAACTACAAAAAAAGAAAAAAAAAAATGAATTTCGAACATATTCTTTTTTCATTTTCCTTAACGGCCAAATAATTACTTTGTTTCAAGATTTTCTTGTTTGGAATTGTCATGATTGGGTTTGATTTGAATATTATTGTCGTGCTGAGTTATGTTGTTATTACTGCTAAATTGATGGGTGTAATTGTGCCCAGTGCGATGAATTTCAATCACATTTAAAGCTGCCGATTGTGAAACTTGTCTAGAAATATGCGATCCTTCTGCAAAAAGAAAGAGAAAGAACTTCAATTTATCAAAAGGAAAAGGCATATAGTCTTTTTGCCATTTACCTGAACTGCTAAAATGTTTTACGGCATTTTCGCCGGGTGCTTTTCTTATGAATTGTTGTTGTGCACGTTGTTGTGTAGCATTAGATATAATACAGAATTCATCATCACCGGTGTCCCAAGCATCACTCACAGAGTTCTGATAATCTCGAAAAGTGGACATCATAACGCTCGCGTTAATCGCACCACCTCCGCTGACACTTGCTGTCGCTGCTGTATGCGAATTTGTGCTTACTAGATTATTTTTAGGACTCGGTCGCCCTGGGACTACTCGATTACTATTTCTCCAAAACGTATTAACCGTAGTTATCTGGTGTTGTTGTTGTTGCTGCTGCTGCAGATGCTGCTGCTCCTGATGATGCTGGTGATTTTTTTGTGTCGTACTAATTGAGCTTTCGGTGCTAACGTTGACTACATTATTGTCCATCACCTCAAATTTTTTTTGGAAAAGCCACACACAATTTCTTGGCCTGCTCCTTCTTAAACTTTAGCTAGGCAAAATTCCACATTACTGGCGGGCGTGCAGCACATTGAAATGAAAACTCAAGTTGGATCTAATAGTTTTTTGTTTCGAGTTATAGTTTTTTAGTGCGATACATGTATAAAAATTGCTTTAAAAAATCTAAAAGGAAAATCTTCAGTTTTCTTTTTTTCTCTTTCCTATACAATCGGAAACAACAACAACACACGTCAGTCTGCAGTAGCCATTGTGACTGATAAAATGATATTGTATTCATTACAAACGCAGAGTTGTTTAGCAATGCATATGTTGGTACACACTCCCACCCAAATACGGCATATTACAACATTTGTTGATTTTTGATCCGCTGACCATTCAAGACGAAGAAGGAGAAGACACCTGCTAATGGTTGAATTTTTTTTGCCAAAAAATTAAAATCTTTTTGGTTGATTTCCATTTGTTTTTTCTCTTCTTAAACTATTTTTAATGAATTTAAACAATAATAGGCGATTTTCGAAAAAAATTGAACACTGGCATTTTTTCGCTGCTAACAGTAATATGTACTTTGAAAATCTGCTCGGATAAAGCAGAAAATGTGTACGTATCCTTGACTTATATTTTGGATTTGCAGGAAATTTTTTATTTATGTCAATAATCTTTTAAAATGGATGGAAAGCTTTGAAGAATAATTCGCGTTATGAAAAATTGATTAGAGAGCCTTCACGTTAAACATTTGTAACTTAATGTTACAACATGAATGCAATAAAATTTCCATCCTCCAAGAAGACCTAAGAAGTTTAAAAAATACAATTGCATGCATGAAGAAGCATTGTTTTCAATTTTGCATTCAAACTACACTGCGAATATCGCCTTCTATTAAATTTTGTTTAATTTCTTGAGTGTAGACTGCCAAAATAAGTTTAAGAATCTTATTTGAAAGTGGAGGATTTCAAGTATGCAAAAATCCAAATTATAACACCATTGAAATACCATTCTTCATCAAACGGAAAATAACTAATAAAAAAATAATATCATAAATGTCTTATTAATGCATATCGTAATTCGAGAACGTCTGCGTTGCGTTAACTGTATCGTTTTTGACAAAGAACAATGAATGAATATTCCGAATGAATACTCGGAAGAAGAAGAATTGGATGTTCTACCATTTTAACAGAGTTTTACACTGCTTTATCATTTTAACAGAGTTTCTTGCACGGCTTTGCCACTTTTTTGCATATAATAGATAATAAAGATTTTTTATTCACCATTTTTCTTATTTATTAAAAGCAACCCTGTGTTCTCTCCATTCACCATACATACTAGCTTCTATAAACGGTGTAAAGGGGAAAGCCAGCTAACGGCTTTTAGCGAGAAATCAAAATGGTGCTTCTCACCGCCGCAATATTAATATTAAAAAAACGAATTGTCATACATTGTTGTTTTTAGTTTGATATTATTTTTATTTTTATAATAAACATAATTTGTTATTAAACAAATACAATCCATGCAATCTTAAATATTCGAAATTATTCGATTTACTTTTGATATACGCAACAAAGTCCCTTATTTAGATATTATTGATTGATTGATTGATTATTCTGGAAATAAGGAACAATACTGGGCTTCCTAAATTTAATCAGTGCTGTCGCCTGTCCGCCTTCTGTTGTATACTCCGTTTATAAAATTTGCAAGAAATCTGCTGTTTGCCTGAAATCTGTCGCTCGATAGTCTACAGGTATCTGCTTTATTATGATTATGCCTGTGATATATTATTGTGGAACGTTTGCACGATTTCTCTTGAAGAGCGTGGGGTATTGCTTTGGATTTAATGTCTTCTTTTGCGGACATCTCAAGATGCCGTAAGAGCTTTTCTTTTTAATTGTTTTTGAAAATGTTGCAACTTCTCTTTATATCTTTTCAGGATTCCCTCGTATTCCGGAACGCTTGGTGAATGGCATTTTCAGCACTTTTTGTACTCATTCGATAATTATTAACACAATAAAGAATAATGATTTAAACGGTTAAGAAGTTGATATATAAGTTGATATTTAGATTCTGTTTGCTCTACTGTTAGTCGCTGTATATTAAGAGACATGATTTGAGCGATGTAGGCTAGGGCTTTAAATTTTTTGGAATTGGGTTTTCAAAAAGAATTCACCAAGGTTTTTCTGACCGGAACTTTGTCCAAAGAGAACGAGAAATCCTTAAGTGAGCGGTAAACTAGTAGTAGAGTTAAAGAAACTGAAAAAGAAATCAACTTAAGAATAATGAAAGTATTTGAGGAAATTTCATTACGTGGTCGTTTGGCAGCGGTTTTAAAATGTTTAGAAGAATAATATGATAAGCATATGTTTATTTAAGTAAAAGAAGAAAAATTTTAATTATATATCTATAATCGATCATATGAAGAAAAAAGATTAACAAACTTTAAATGAACATAAATAACGAGTAATTAAATAATTACGTCTAATTTCTGTTGAACTGAATGATGGGATCATTTACTTCAATTCTGTACGCTACTTTCTCTGGCACTAGCAGAACGAGCTAAACTTAAAAGATCACTAGATGAACCCAAAACCTACAAAACAAATCCGAAGTATTTGAAATAATTTTGAGTGAAAATGTCAACAAATTAACGAACCGACGAAGTATTCTTAGCTCTAAAGAAAGTCACAAGTTTGTTTATAAAAAAAGTACTATGTGTGGAGAATGAAGAGAGCACAGCGTTGCTTTCAAAAGGTAACAAATAAATAAGAGAAATGGCGAATAAAAATTTTCTCCATTGAATAGTTATCATCTCACGAGAAAGAATCGCCTTTCACTTCTTGAATGCTAAAAGCGGACATATTTCGGTGGGACGAATATTATTTATTTACTGGTAGTTACGTTATCCGCGTTTACAGACACGGCTACGATTGATTCCAGTTTTATGTAGCGCTACTAGAAAAATGTTTAAACTAGCAACACTACGTTATCGCACCAGAAGCTCCGCATAATTCAGTAATTAGACCCAATTGCAGGCCGCCACGTAAATGTACATCCAGCTCTTTAACAAGTGTAACAATTTTGCCAGATATCATTTCCTTACACCACAAATCAAAGCAAGAAGTTTGAAACATTTTATATAATATTTTATATAATATTTTTTTTTCTAGATGTTGAGTTAAGATGGACCAAGCCAATAAGATATACAATATTTAAAAAATTTCTTTTCAGCATACAAAACCGACTCTTTGAATCGTTCTCAATCCTAAAAAATACATAATAACTTTTTATACGCTGAGTTTCAGATGCTTCCAAATTCTTAGTTGTTTTTTTAATGCAACAGCTCTTAACAAATGCAAACTGATTTTTTCAATTATTCTCAATTGCAAACAAATACAGACCGACTGGTTCTATCAAGATGAAGATGTACAAGATGACGTAATTTTTCTTAAAATTGATAACGAACTCTTGTTCAATTTCAAACATACTTTATTAGAGAAGACTACGTACGATCTAACTCTGTTCCCGACATTTTTTATCATGCCAAGTTTGCTTTAAAACTGAGAAACAACGGGATTCCCAGGAAAACTATGTGAATCTCAGAGCTAATTATTCGCAAGGACAACGAATATCTTAGATTAGCTTTTACACAAAAACTTACAACAAACGAGACAATCAATCGCGAAGTAGATCGCATCGTTGTCGTGATATTTTTTATTACATGCAATATCCATTATGGTACAAGGATAAATCGACTTTGTGCCTATACAATATCCAGGAGTCCATGCGTCTGTCCGTCCTATTTTCTAGTGTTCAATCTACAGGTTGCATTTTTGAAATAGTTTGATAAAATTTTACACACGAGCACACACACTTTTCTTTTCCTTTTCATAACTACCAGATTTCACCTAACGCATAAACATATCTACAACATAGTAAGTAGTTGGAGAGACTTGTTTCCTATTACTATTTTTTATGTTATGGCACCAATTATCGTCCAAACTTGGTAAGGAAGAAGGTGGTAAAATAATGAAAGTAAATGTTAAATAATGTAATCAACAAACCTATTTAGTAATTGTACTTTGACAGAATCTTAATTTATTGACAGCGGTAATATCTCGAACACTCTATCTTCCGTGTGAACGAGAATATGGGTCCTAAACAGTTTTGCGAATTAACTATCCAAATATGTCGCGTAAGCTTATAAATAGATAACATTCGATTTGCATAGTAACAACAGCAGAGTCTCACATTTGAATCTCGAAGACCAGCTTGTTCTTCTAGATCTTTTATTTCAATAGTATTATGCGCAATACATTTAAAAAATTTTTTATAATTACATGTAGTGTTAAATTTTTTTTTAGTTAATGTGTTACCACAGCTAATATGACTACTACGTAAACTCTGAAGTAAAAGTGTAAAGTTTTTTACAAATATTCACCAAAATCGGTGTCAAATATTCCTTTCAGTTAGCCAATTGACATATATCCATGATGATATCGTTAAAGGGAATGAAGCGGTATTTACTAATTGTTATTAAATCTTAAGGTTGTAAAAAAGTTTCTGATTATATTTATTCTAAAATCAAATAAGTGATTGTTCTTTGAAAAGTTGGCTTTTCTGCCAGTAAACAACGTTTGTTTGCCGATACTTGTCTTAAATGTCTCCTTAAGGATAAAAACGAAGGAAAATAGTCAATCTTTCTTTTTTAAGTCATCTGCCTGTCAATCTATCTATTCTCTATCAATCGATCGTTAGTAGGAACTTTAATTTTATATTCGAATATATAATTTTAAACAGTAATTTACCCAAGAAAGAAGAAGAAAAATCGACGCTCAAAAACTGAAAGAATGTGGACATATTACCAACGGAATAAGTAGCCACTAAATGCAAACATCTTGAATATATACTTAAAAGCTTAACATGACCCTAATTCAACATAAGCCTTTCCGCCGACACAATTTTTTCTGCACCTGTCATAAATTTTATTTATAATTTTTTTTATTTATTTTTCTTTTTTTTAATGTTAAGGAAAAATAAACCGTTTTTAAAGGAAAATTTTCATTCATTTATTTGATACGGGGCTGCCAACACATTTAATAATGTGCAAACGCGACCGGCCACAACAATCGCCATTAATTACTTATACCGATTTATTACTCATTCACTCAATTTCATTTCAATGAGCCTTGGCAACTCTACACGTATACTGCATTTCTTTCTTAAAGAAAAAAAAAAAGAAAAATTAGTTCTCCATTGAGCGGATGAATATTGTAACGTTCCGTCGTTTCGTCGTTTTTGTTAACTTTTTGTTGTAGCAAGGAAAAAATTAAAATTTTATTAAAAAAGATAAATAAGTCAAATGAAATTCAAAAATAAAATTTCCTTTTTTGTTTATTGCATCAAATAATTCAAAAATAATAAATGAATGACTTTATAATGTTGGAAAAATTGAGAAAAATAGAGAAAAAATTGCATTTTACTTACATACGAAAAGTGAAAGAAAAATTCGTATTGCTCGGTTGCGTATGTGTGTGATGTCTATGAGAAAAAAGAAAAAAAAAAGAGGTGGTAAAATAAAAGCACAAATATTCCAAAAAGAAAAAAAAAAGAAGCGAGTGAGCGAGCAGTGTGGTGCTAATGCTATATCTTTTTGTTAAAAAGCCACTACAATTACGGCTTAAGAAGCAAGCAAAGAGGCACAACACTTCACAACAGTTTCAGCGGCAAGACCACGGTCAATTTCAAGAAAAGCTACATCGTCGTTTAAAAAAAAAAAATTGAATTTAAGAAAAATTAAAACCAATAGTGTGATAAATAATGAGTTCCAGTTGTGAAAGGTGTGTGTAATGATAAAATATTTAAATAAAAAATCTTCTGTTTGTGTAGTTGTATAGTTTACCGTCGTTTCTAAATAAAATTTGGAGCAAATCAACTGTTCTTTTTCTATCTTAACTGGATTTTATTGCATTATATCTCTCCTTCATTAAATTGAAATATACCATAATGTGGGTTAAATAAAAAAAAAAAAAAAACGCCTCCCCATTATGTGCATATACATTATTTAAATGCATATGCAAAACTTGTTATATTTCCCGATTAAATGCAAATTTTTTCTTTCTTTTTTCATCTCAATTACCGTTTGCGTTTTGTTTCCTTGATTAATTTCCTTGGTGTCGATGTATGGAGCTCCTCTTTTATCGTAACACACACACACACACACACACACAATCCTCTCCCCAAGAAATCGATTTTCCTTTTTCTAAATCATTTTACAACAACAATCCGCTTTACAATAAGCAAATATCCATTTATATGGGGAAAGGTAAATTAAGAGCAATATTGAGAGTGTTACAAGAAAGCAGAGAGGGAGAATGAACTACGCATAAATATGTGGTGACATACTCACTCTCCCTTTTAGACTATTATTGCATTACCATTCTGAATCTAACGTAACTGCATTGGACTGTTAATTGAAAAAAAAAAAGAAAAGAAAAGAGTAGCCGGAAAATTAATAACAATTGCTTACTGTTGTTGTATATGTACGTGTGTGCGTGCGTGTGTATTTGTGCATGCATTTATAATTTCAAATAGTAACAAATAGTAACATATTAACGGCATTTTCTCATAGATATTTTAAATTAACTTCTAAATTTTTTTTTATTTTTAATGATGACCGATCCTAACCAATCAACCAATCCGTCACTTAAAATATTTGAAATCTGTTAACTTTATATTTAAGCTTAAATGCATGCGTATACAAGCATGCATTCGTGCATGTAAGCGCGATTGAATGAATTTTTGAATGAAAATATATTCCATAGTATTATATTTTTTTCTTTTTTACACTCTCTTCCTCTCTTTCCCTCCCTTGATTTTTTTTTTTTTTGTCAGAGAAAATTGTTAGACATCTTGAGATTCTTGTACTATATTCCTAAGTAAATTAAAAATATGCTGAACCCAAGTTTTCCACATGTATATTTTTCTTTAAATTATTATATCAGTTTTTCGAGCGAAGGGAGAAAAGGTAGCTTATTGTTCTTAATAAATTGTTTGGATTGTGGAAACTGCTCTTCAATGTTGAAAGGATTATATCAAGTATTGGAATACAAATAGAAGTTGTAAGAAAATTCAATTGATATATTAAAATAGTAAATAATGAATTAGGATAAAAATTTCATATAAAATCTCACAATTAAAAAGCTAATGGTCGACGAAAGGAGAAGGGGTCAAATCAAAAACAGCTTTAAAGCAAATAGAATGCCTTAGATACTAAGGGATTAATGATATACAAGGGATAATGATTTTTTCTATACTTCTCTTGTCTTACTCATCAGCACCATTAAGTGGGGATATAGTTCAAGGATCCCAAAAGGTGCATATATTCTTGATTAGCATCAAACATTGGAAATATATATTGTGAAATATAAGCTTCTATTGGTCGCGAAAATCGAGATATTGCTCCAAATTTCAGAAAAATTTTGGATACATTCCTTATTGTATCCATGGGCGACATTGGTTAAATGGCAAACCCGCAATTAATTGACAATTATTTACTGAGTCAGCCTAGCTTTGTCCGTCGGTTAGTGTGATGCCTGTCCACCTATTTTTGTGTTCCACTCAAATAGATATTTTAATGAGATTTGGTGTACTGACGTTTTTTGGCGCCGGGACTAGCGCTATTGACAATGGTTCGAATCGCATCACTATTTCGACCACTTCGCGTATGAGGCCTTATTTTGATATGATGTGATAAGAAAAAATATTATAGTTTTTAGAATTCCGCGATACAACTAATAATGTTTTGGCATTTTTAATTGTTGTAAGAACTTTGGATCGAATGGAGCAATTTTTTAAAACACATGCCATATAAATATTTCTACGGAAATTGGATCTTTATATAGCAAAAAGGCCCCATTTTCAATACTTCTTGATGGCAATACATTCACAATATTAATTTGTTATAAAAATTAACCTGACCGAATTTGGACCACGTAGGTCTATTTTTTTTTATTCCAAGCGATACAAGGATTCTAATGAGAAACAAGATTTTATATACCGAAAACGTATAATATTAAGTATTTTATAATGCAAATTTGTCAGACATAGAGAAAGTGGATAACATGAATCGCCATATATAGGGGCTCTCATGAAAGCGTGCCAGTCTGTGGCTAGAAAATTTAATTTGCCTTATGTTTTTATGACGAAGGTATCGGGAAAATAAGAAAATCTTTGGCAAGTAGATTAATTTTCTTAAATTTAGACAACGTTGACGTATCCTGCAATATGGAGGCTTCCATAGAAATAATGGATAATTTATGGTGCATTATTAATTAAGCGAAATGATGTACGGTTTCTAATGGTCGGCCTTATCTAACTATAGAAGTTTTATTTGATTTTAAATGAGGATTCTAAGTGTAAAAGATTCGGGCACAGCCGATTGTATTTTTGTTATTTGTCCGCGTATTTCCGGTGTTATAAGGAGGTCGGCTCACCTAAATTTTCAACTTTGATTTACCAAATTATGACAAGAAAAATCACGTGCCCCTCCGCAGAGGGAAAAATTCTACTCAAACAACATCTGAACATCTGTGAGCAAGCGAGCATCTGTGTGAGTGCCTAAAAGGCTTTAAAGGGCTTTATGATGGGCGAAAGAGGATGATTATATATTTTATTAGACAGTGTGTTTAAATCTCGACGAGATTCGGGTAATACTATCACACAAAAGCACAGATTTGATATTCAAGTTCTAAATGGCATCTTCCTTGTAACCAGCGGCCAGACATCTGATGTGCAAAAGCGGCAATCGAAACGGTTCCGATTCCACTGATTAGTTGCTGAACATGCCCTTTTCATTGAATTAAGTTGCCGTGTCTCGATTTCGCCTTAATTTTGTGACTTTTTCTATTGCGCCAAAGAGCAGATGTGGATGGATGGACGGACAAACGATAAGGCGATTCATAGAACTGCTGTTTGTTTGTTAAGAATGCAAGCGTTCAAAATGTTTGCTAAATAAATATTTTATTTGCTTATTTGTTAGTGTGCGTAACTGTTTTTCTTTAAGTAATGAGGAATTTTTTTTTTTTGTAAAGCTTTGTTGATATTGGAAAATTTATATCAATTTGTCCTTTAAATAAACTATTGCCCGTTAATTAGGTGAAAATGTTTAAATTGAAATTGTTTTATGAATTTTTAATGTAATATAATGGAAACTGAAAGGTCATTCTAGACGATGTTATACATGTACATGTAAATTATTTGCTTTAATTGAATAATAATTTTTTTCAAATGCATTTTTTATTACAGAATAGAATGGGTGGAAATTATCGAACCCCGCACCAAAGAGCATATGTATGCGAATTTAACGACAGGCGAATGTGTTTGGGATCCACCTGAGGCAAGTACAAATCATGTGAGAATATAAATTAAAATTAAAAACAAAAACAAGAAAAATTCAATACTCCATGATCAGGCGCGGACAATTTTTTAGTATTTTTATGTTATCGGCTACGAGAGCAATCGTAAAATCAACGTGAGTTTGCATCTGTGGTAGTTACAAAGTTGTGATCTCTTGTTGTGTTTATAAGCAATCAGCAAGAAAAGAAAATCAAATTTTCCGTTTTTAAAAGTTGAAATCTGTTGAATATGTTGAAATGATACTCTATTATGGAGGCATGTCCTTTGATCGATTTGTTCATCGATTTTCAATACCATCACTGTGCGACTCGATTGACATGTCGATAACTTGAATTTCAATTCGAACTGATTTATTAAATAGATATTACGCAGACAGAAGGACGGACGTTTCTAAAACGGCTTAGAATTTGATACTAACCAAGGGTATAAGGTCGATTGACAAGTCGATAATTTATTTTAATTTCAATTGGAATTGATTTTTAAATAGATATTACATGGGGACCTTTTCAGATCGTTTTAGAATTTGATACTAATCAAGGATACATGTTATGATAAAGGGAATATATCCTTTAGGTTTTCAGTGATGGCTATTAAGAGCTAACACAAAATCACTTTTCTTCTCATGGAATTTTTATATCATTCCGCACTAAACACTAACTAAACTATAAAAAAAGAAAACAAAATCTATACCATATTGTGTTTGTTGAAGTGCAGTTTGCACTGATTTTTAAACTATGCTTCTTTTTGTCATGTGATACGTGTTCTAAATACACTTAAATGGAGAAGCATTCACATGTATGATAAATAAATAAATTCTGCTAAAAACAAAACTACGCTAACACACAATAACTGTATACGAGAATGTAGTTCTGTAGGTTTCACATATATATATACATATATTTATATATATATATATATATAGAGTATATGTATATAGTATATATGTATATGTGTATGTATATGCCTACGTATGGACATATATATATATATATATATATTGGTATACATGTATATGTATATATATATATGTTTGCATATAAGGAACGAATACATATATCGCATCAATATTATTATTGTTCCTCTTTTCCTTGTGTTGTCCATTTCACCTTCTCTCTCTCTCTCTCTCTCTCTCTCTCTCTCTCTCTGTCTTTCTCTTTATTGCTCTACCTCTGTAAAAGGATATTTTAAACTAGTACTTGTGCGCTCCACTAAAGTGCCTTTCAATTGTCAATTATTGCTTTTCCTCAATTGCTTCGTTGCATGCATGCGTGCGCGTATCATGTATTTCATGTTCGTATGTTTGTCGTTTGTTCATATGACGCGTGCACCTACATATAAAATATGTACATATGAACGTTTATGGCGCATGAATTAATTTCAATTTTTTCATATGAAAAACGTGTGCGCTCTGAAAATTTTCAATTCCTAGGTGCAATTTTTCCCAATCGCTTAGGGGCTGCAATATTCTTCGATGCAGGCATCGGTAGCCACCATCGATACTGTATTGCTCGTGTTGCACTTGCTTTGCATCGATTGCAGGTAAACGATAATCAAAATGTTTGATGGTATTTCGAAGACACAGGCGAAGCGTTTTCTTGATTGACTTTCCAATATGTGTGTCAAGCATTGTCATGCTGATGAAACCTATTATCATGACTTTTTTCTTTTCTGTCACGCTGTCAAAGGTGTTAATATTGCAATTCATTGTTCCAAATCGCTCGCAGTACCCTATGTCTAACTTTTTTCCCCCTAAGTCGAGCCACAGTAGACGTTCAGTTTGCGTTCAGTTGCTGTTGACTTAGATGGGTGTACGTGAAGACCAAATGCTATCGTACGGAATTCTACTATCAATTACAAGAAGGAGGTTAGGAAGGGGATTGTGAACTCATTTTCTCTTAATATTACCCAAAAATGGAAGCGAGATCATCCTGTTCTTGATTAATGTAAAATTCTGAATCGATTAAGCCATGTCTGTCCGTCTGTGTTTTTTTTTCACTTTCCCATGATCGCAGAAATGAAGCTATCGATTTGAAATGTGATAGAAAAATTGGAGGTTCGTGCACTTAGGTTGGTACTAAAAATGGATGGCCAGATTGATTAAAGCATACTCGCTCCCTAAAGCTGAAAGATAGAAAGCCGACATTTTTAAAGATGTGAAGATAATTTCATATTTAGTTAGCAAAGACACCTACCATATTCATTAAGAGAGGGATGAGAGGGAGAGAGAGAAGATTGAAACTTGGGTGTTTTTTCTTAGGAAAAAGTTGTTAGAAATAGTTCCCGGAAGAAAAATTTGAATTTTTTTTTTTTGCTCATTCGACAGGTTTTTTTCATAAAGATTCATGTGACGTAGGTGACATTTTCTAGTCCAAATTTCCAAAAAATTGTTAAAAATAGTTCTTCCCATAAGCAGAATTTGAATTTGTTTTAGCTTATTTTAAAGGTATTTTTATATAGATTCATGAGGTGTCCACAAAAATATTTCACTTTTTTTAATATGGTCAGACTAGGCTTCCAAATCCAACTAGTTCTTAATTTTTAAATATTTAATAGAGTTTTGTTAGGAGACGTTTCTGTTAAGGGATACGGTAGGTGTCTTGGTTAGATAAAGTCGAATTTATCTGCACACGCCATGTTCACAAAGTGTCGCAAACTTTTTCTTTACGATAAACTTGGACCATATCTTTTAAATTGTTTTGTACACTCCCCAAACGTAAAGAAAATTAAGAAATATGGTAGACACTGTGTAGATATCGAATAAAAGGACTGGGAGAGTAGAATGCGGAATACCGCGGACGTCGAGACTTATTGGATTAATTTTTTCATTACAATGTAGCTAGCACATAAGAGGACTTGGCGAGAAACCATTTGCGGTAAGCGAGAAGCCTTTTGCGATAAATCTAAATTAATTAAGGTCCACGTGATGATGTGGTGGATTAAATTTTCCTTAACAATCTAATCAATACAGGCGTCATATAAGACCGCTTGGAAAATAAAATGCCCTAAGCTAAGTGTGTTAATTTTAATTTAATAATGATTGACGTCAGGACGTGATGGATTAATTTTTTGTTTAACAATAGCTTTTAAAACTATAAAAACGAACTAAAAGATGGACAATAAATAACATCCCCTCTCACTTTTTCATAGCCATGAATAAAAGCTTGGGATCCCTAAATATTTCAATATTGGTGGATATGCGGAATTTGATCTCGATCGTATATATATATATATATATTTATTTATTTTTTTTTCTTTTAATATGACTAATTACTCGGGGGACTTCGTCTATTCATGTGAATAAATGGTTAAGAGCCCTAAACATTTGACTATTAATGGATATGCGGGATTTGATCTCGATCGTATATATATATATTTTTTTTTCTCTTAATGTGAACAATTACTCAGGAGATTTGCCCTATTCGCGTAACACGATTACGGTTAGAAAGCAGACAGGAAAGTGAAAGAAGAAGGAAGAAATAGGAAGATGATGGCTGCAGACCAGTGGATGTTTGCTTAATCGCGTGAAGTGTTAAGCCTTGCTTACATATTAAATTAGATATATTTCTATATAGGATGAATTATCGCTTCAATGTTTCTAAAAAAAAATTTCATTCAAAATTCCATGAACTGAAAGGTTGTCATTTCCAGTTGTCCTAGGCAATTGTTGATATTCAAATCTTATATCTGGACAGTAAAGTAAACGTATGTATGTATTGGGCAAGCTTCACAAACGCTTTGATATTTAATGTAGTAGTGTTTTTGGAGAGATATTGTTTTAATTACCTCGAAATCATGTTTGTGTTCAAAATTATCAAAATTATGTTAAAGAATTTTTTAATGATTGTCAAAATTTATGAATTGCACACCCTATGTTATTTTGTTGTTTGCTTGGTTTCTACGTAGAAAGGATGCTTTATACAACATTTGTCAAATTTTCAAATTCTCAAATATTAATTTCAAGGACTTCATATCATATATGACAGCATAAAAGGTTAAATCAAAATGTAAGAAAATTCAATTACTCTTATTGGGTGATTTATATTTGAATAAATTTAGATAGGCGAACTATTTTGACACTAAGGCACAAATTTTGCTTGACTTTTTATTTTACTTTGAATTTCATTGCAAAAATGATTGCATTTAATCCAAGTCTTACGCTTTCCAACACCAAAAGGTGTATAAGTATATAATAAATTAGAAAATTGTATTCGATCGTGACCGATTCTTTTCTACCCATCATCGTTATCAGAAAAGGGACAAAAGAAAAATAAAAGAACTAAATTTTCATATTTTATTAGATGGAGAGGGCGCGGGTGATTTTTTTCTGTCTTTTCCAAATAAAAATTCTTATCACAAAGGCGTGTGGGTGTTGTAGGCATATACTTTGAAAAGTATAGGTCACTTTGAAGCTTTTAGATGATATCCTCATTTTCGCTAGCGAGAGAATATTTACCACAAATACTATACGGTTGCGCAGACAGATGTATAGACAGACGAACAGACTGACATAGTTAGGTGTAATTCACATTTGAAACTGGCGAAGAATTTATATACTTTATGGGGTTTTCGAAGCCTTTTTTTGCTTTATATAAGGGTATCGAACAAAAAATCAAATATTGATACATTATAAGCTTAGGCTGGGGTAGTCAATTTTTCCTAGTTTTGTGCAGATACTACAACATCGTCCATAGAATTTGCGTTCAAATTTTTATACATATATCTGCTATAGCTTAAAATGTACAATGAGCAAAAAACTAATTTTTTATTATTTTTGAGTTCTTAGTGCAGTGGGTGTGCTTTTGGATCGATTTGGCCCATTTTCAATACCAGCAAATTTGAAGTCGATAGCTTCAGGAGAATGGTTACAACAGATATTACACAGACGGACAGACAGACAGACCGACAGACCGACAGACGTAGACGCTTAAACCGATTTAGAGTTTGATGCTGATCAAGAATATTTATACTTGGTGGGGTCTC